GAAAACTACACAGAGCATCTAAGAAGAGCATCCCAGCTACGTTTGCTAAATATTGAAGTGACAGTTGAAGAGCATGCGAATTTTAATGCAAGTGGCCTTTTTTTTTATCGCCTAGGAGGTTTAAAGGACTTTGGAGGGCAACACATAGTTTTCATGAGTGAGGATCAGTCCTCGCCAACGGAGTGAGAAAGAGGTACTATGGAAAAATTACTGTCAATCAACGCCCAATGAGGGGGGAGGGGTGGTCATGATAGTATTACAGAGCCTAAGGGGATCGAGTAAATTCTATCGTAACACAACCGAAATCCTCCCTCCCCCTCCCCATCGCGGCAAATAATGACCCCCCTCCTCCCCCCATGTGCAATACCTCATAGAGTTTTACTTACTTAGGCACCCTCCACCATTACAAGACCTTGTTTCTCTGTTTTCACCTGAACATTGCGCCCCGCCGCCGGAAGGAGGAGGATTGGTACAGGAGCGTACGCGCTCTTGATATCCAATTCCGCAAGAGGCACTACATTGGCCCCAAAGTCCAAACATACTCCACCCTCCATTTACTGCAAACGTAAAAGTTTTTCATATTATCTTGAGCGAGTTTTATACTCTATCACATCTGTAGACAGTAAGGGTTTCTACGTGAAAGAAGCCTCCTGTACTTGTAATGAAGAAAAACACTCTTACCAGGGCAAGCATGGCCACCACAGTATCTTGTTTCTTTGCTTTCTCCGTTGCATTGCGCCCCACCGAGTGATGGAGGAGGATTGGTACAGCTGCGCGTGCGCTCTTGCTGTGCATGCTGTCCACAAGTAGCGCTGCATTGTCCCCAGTTTCCCCAGTTGCTCCATCCACCATTAACAGCACCTTAAAAAACAAAATATACTGATAGTCAGCTTTTGAAATGTTAGCACTTTTGTAAAGAAATCATTTCACTTGTGATTATAATTTGATTATGTTTTTAGGAAAGTCTTCGATTGCGAAGCTCACCCCATTCGTTGATGAATACGGGCTTCAATTTATGCTGCAATAATTCTTCAATTTTTCGCTGATTTCTGAGCTCAGAATTACTTATGCTATTGTAATGATAATTCAGAGGTGGTATAATTTCAGGGTATAATGGGTATAATGTGGTTTTAACCACCCAATTTGACCAAATTGTACGGATACGGTTAAAAAAGGGCGATCATAAAAGGACTTTGTCAATGTTAAAGAATGTGTTTTCTCGTAGTGACAAGAATAATACGAAATGATTCCTGTGATACAGGTTATACCACCCAAAATTCAGCGTCTCACGGCAATATAAAAACTATGATTTAATTGAAAATGAATTTAACTGTTATTTTGGGAAATACCGTTAAAAATTAAGAGGGGGGGGGGGTTAAGGGGGTATTAAAAAATAAATTGTTTTCATCAACACAGTGATGTCAATTGGCCACCATAAAAGTTTCTGAAGCTGACGTTTCGAGCGTCAGCTCTTCATCATTCGCTCTACCTTTAAAGATTGATTTGAAATGAAAATAGAGAACGTTTACCTAACTTCATCTTGCAGCATCTGAGCTTTTCCAGGCAGTAAAGTTGATTGCAGTCACTTTTGTAAATACCCACCAAGTAATAGCCCAATTGCTTACAGAACGCCCAACCTTTATTGTCAAACTTATAAGTGTAGTCTTCATCGTAGCAGTGTTCAAAACTGTTTGGATGACCCTGTGGGTGGCAACATTTTGCCTCGTCAATGTTGTTTAGATAGGCTGGTGGACCAGCGCCGAGCCTTACGCCCTGCATGTAATAACCGGCAGGACACAGAGCCCAGACATATTTTCTGGAATGGAAAAGAAATATCTATATAGTTCTCTTTATCATAAACGTATATTTTTTCTGCGGTGTTAGACAGCATGAAAACTAGTTCTACCCATGGTGCGCGGCCACTTAATATCTGCGCATGTCGAAAGTTGTTTGTTAATAGAGAGAAACAATACTAACATTGCACATTTGAATATGGAAGTATTTTCTGTCCGTAACAGTAGCATATCTGTAACAATAATTGGTGTACTAATTAAGAAATAGATTCCAAGTTACCGTGCGTCTGTTTAGTAATAGATCGCAGATGACGTCAAAATGTGGTAAGAACAAAAAAGTGGCACACGAGGCGCAGCCGAGTGTGTCACTGATGCTCTTTACCACATTTTGACTTCCTCTGTGATCTATTACTGAACAGACGCACGGCAACTTCGAATCTATTTGTTTTATATAATAAATAATTTAAAAAGTTTTAATGATGACGTCATCTATACATCTGTCCTCCAATAGATCATAAGTGAGAACCAATCAGAATGCGTGTATAACTGAGCTTATTTTATAATATGTTTTATCTTCACACTCGAAGAAATGCCCAAATAGATGATATTTCTAACTACAATCGTCTCTTCGTTTCCCTTTCCCCTTATTGTGTTATTTCATATTAACGTGCTGCGTGTGATTCGATAACTAAGCCAATCCAGTCCACAAATTTGAACTTGGCATTCGAAACTGACGTGGAAACTTCCATTCATTATTTTTGATTCTTGAGTTGAGTTGTTTTTTCAAATTTTTGGAACCAAAGGCCCATTGAAGTCTTAATTTAAATCGAGTTGGACTCTAGCCATTTTTCGATACACGATTTTTATCACTTAGGTATGAAGGTATGTTTTTTCTTTTTTCAGTAAAGCTGAACTTAACAAATCGTTCTACTTTATTCATTTGCAAAGTATAGTTACGGGGTTAAGATTGAAGTTATATTATTATTTTCCTCAAATTGCTCACCTATCCAAAGTCTGCGCCCAATTTGCATTTAAGCACGTTGAAGGTTGTTTGTGATAGGCTGAAATAAAAGCGTTACAGCATCTTGCAGTTTCAATGCGCCCAACTCTCTCGTCTCCAGGTTTGTTATCGTTTCTCCACAATCCCTTGAGATAAGTTCTAGAATCGGGACAAGTGGACCACCCCACTCGGTCTAGGCTTGAATGCCAGTTGATATCCGAACACTGGCCATAGCTAAGATCAACGTGGGAAATCATCAATACGCTGATAAGTTGAATGGCAAAAACGCACCGCATCCTGAATCTGAAGCGAAAAAGACGGTGTCATTAATGTCTACTGTAGATTATCTTGATTTTTGACTTGCTGCTCTGTGAAATGATACACCTTCACAGTACAGTAAAGGATCTGGCTGAGAAACTGAATTTGCTTTAAAAACCTCCCACGGATACATGATCGCCATATTATAAAACGTAATGTAAAATATTGCTAGAGTGATGTTGCCGAGAAGCTCTGCACTCAGAGTGATAAGCAAAGATACATGAAAATAACATTCGCGTCCAAGCAAGGTGCCAGTAATTAGCCTTAAGGTAGAATTTTGTGATGTACGCGCTTTTATTTTCTTATTTGTTTACTTATTTTCAGCTTGCAGAAATGAGTACCTTGCAATGGATACTTTTGGACCTCGAACGCTCTCGCCAGATATAATTCTTAAGACCCAATTATAAATCATTTTACATGTACTTGGATGACTTGTTAAAATTATTGATTCATCTCTATTGGGGGTGCAATCGCTATAGGTTTGTCTGAATACATGACAGGAAAAAACAAGAGTTGAAAGAGTTTTGGAGAATTCAGTAATTTTAAGCACTTAGCGATGTGTCTGCACTTAAGATCAGAAGAAACTTCACCAGCAAGGAGTGCTACCATTACATCCACTCTAGTGTAAAACTTAAGTAACTATAATACATGGTCCTTGTAGCTCACCCAGAAACGTAAGGTATATGAAGCAGTTATCTTAAAAAAATTTATACTTCAAGTTTCAATTCACGAATGAATTTTGATAGCCTTCGACATATGTTATCTTCCTTACCTGCTTTTTAGTCTGAGACGTACAATTCGGGATCTGACTAAGTACAACGGTACTTTTCAAGCCTAACGAGCCAATGGAATGACTCAAAATGTTGCCTTTTCTTTGGCTAATGATCAGCTGATTTTGCTAATAGATGTTTAATTAAGGTTGACGTGGCCCAAAGAGTTTTCTTATATGTATTGAATTTCTTAGAGATCAATTCATAATTAGTATCTTTTATACTATCTCATCTGTACACCCAAGAGGCGGTCACAGATGAAAATGAAATCAATTTTGGAAACGATCCTTTATGACAATGAAATCAAGGGGAGTTCAAGGGTTATGCAATAACAGGCTTTCCCTTACAGTCTCAGAGTCTCCTCTCTCTCTCTGATGGAGAGAGGAACTGTGAGAGTGAAATATCTTGTCCATAAACGCAACACGGTGAATAAACCCGGGAAGGGTTTGTGCCCTCGTCAGTTTTACCCTCGTTCAGTTTTGCCCTCGTTTTACCCAGTTTTTCTCTCGTTTTTCTTCCTACTTTTTCCTTCGTTTACCCTCGTATTTACCAGACATCGTATTCCCGATTGAAAAAGCAAACATCTTTTTGGAATGGAAATTGTTTCTCATTAACAGGAAGTGAATATTGATGATCATTCATTCCTAACCTTCTGATAAAACTTGTGGTTTTGAAAAGTGAGATGAACTAATGCAGTATTGGAATTCTAACTCAAAATGATGAAAATTTGTCCCAAATTTACCCCTTCTATACTTTATTTCAAGAATGCCTTGGATAACCAGGATGTCGTCTTGTTAAAAACGGAAGAAGGGCCTCTTGATTGGTTCTTTAAAATTTTTCTTGCAAACAATCAATGTTTTTTGCCTTTTCTCTTGTTTACTGTATTTCTTAAAACGAAAACGTTTTGCACACTGTGTGAAATTCTTGATCAATTCTTTAACCTTGAATAAAAATAGCTTCGTATAAAGAAAAAAGCATAACGTGTCATCACGTAACTTGACGTGTAGATTAACAATTTCATTTAAACGCCTGTGGTAAAAACTCTCACGGTTGCGATAGAAAACGTTTCCGAGATTCATGTCTAATGTAGTGTCCAGACAATTCTGTCTTATAATTCCTGCCCTTCAGCGAGATTAAAAAATATTGAAGGAAAAACTGCAGCCAAATGTCGGGTTGGGACTAAACATCATTTCACACCTACCCTTTTTTCCCTAACATTAGTCGAGGCTGAATGGCAAGACTTTCCTCTAGAGGCAATTTGAATATGAATGCTCCATTTTTCAATAATTTTCCTCTTTTTTTCATCAGAACAGAGGACGCAATTATCGGTTTGAATGAATATTTTCGAATAGTTTGTTTAAGAATAGTGAGAGCGGAATTGTTACATGCAACCCCAGCTGACCAGCACTTATTCTTCAAAGTATTAGGGGATTGTACTTCCATCTCATTTCTGTAGGGTATCCCTCTATTTAAGGAAGTTAAAACGATAAGTGAAGCGTTGACGACTCAATCGTCCTTGTAATTTAGAATAACAAAGAGACTTTAGCGCTGTTTTTGCTAAACAGAAACACATTCAATAAAAAATTAGTAAATTTTATACGTAGCATCCCATTACACAAACGTGTAAACGTAAAAGACGCCTGTCAAACCTTTTTTCAACGTTGTTGTTTACATCTAATCTTTACTGTACTATGCTGAGCATCGTGTTATTCTTTTGTTGTCGAGCACGAAAAAAAACCCCATTTTTTATTTAACTTAGATACTGCCCCCCGTGCCATGCGTAAACAGAGTATAGAACGAGGTAACTGAATATCTTTAAATCATCAATTAGTACCACGAGTTTATACTACCACTCAGCCGCCCATTTTTTTTTTTTGCTGCAATTGAAACCAACTTGAAGTGTAATGGAGGACCCTCTCATTTTCCTCTGACCTACTGTCGTCAGCGTTCAAATATGGAAACAGATGCTTCACCGAATACCCTGCCGACATGCCCGACTTTTTCGAACAAGCATTTCCTGCTGGAATGTCATATGAAAGGACATTTAAAATTTGAAGATGGAGGAGTTGCTCCTATCATCTTATTCAAGAGGAATACGGAAGTCCACTTATTGGGTCACTAATGGAGGACCCTCTCATTTCCTTTGACGTACTGTCGTCAGCGTTCAAATATGGAAACAGATGCTTCACCGAATACCCTGCCGACATGCCCGACTTTTACATATTATTTTATTATACCGCTATGTTCAAAAAATTTCCATGAATCATATTTTAGGAAGGCTTGAAATTGCATACGCAGCATCGAAATTTCCTATTCGAATTAATCAAACAGACCACAACGATAACATGCACCTGTAAATGGCTTTATTCATTTTTCACCAAGTTAATAATCACAAATGACAGAGTAAGGATATCAGTCTCATTTGGTATCGACCCAGCAGCAGCAAAAATTATTCGATACTTCAATATTTCCATTTGAGATAAGCTTAATATACGGATAATCAGCCCAAAAAATCATATAATGGAAAGCGATCCCAAAAAGCACCCCTTTTTTCCAAATGACCCGCAAGGAAAAGTATCGAGATGCTGTTCAGGATCATGATAACAAAGCCAAAGTGTTGAGAGGATTTGAAAAAAATAGCTTTAAAAAAACAACTATTCAACATGAAAAAAATTCACGTTCAACCATCTTTAAATAACTCCTCTGTGATGTATAGAAACAATAAAACTAACCTCACTGGTATATCTTAAATCTAGCGGATTTCCTTTCCTTTCAATTTCCTGTCAAAATAGGCAAAACATTTCATTATTTCAAAGTATTTTGTTCAGATACAATTAAAAGCTGGAAAGGCGCTGTTTTAAGCTAACATTATGATCAAATTTCTTCATTCCTCGCTTTGTATTCTCCACATCACTTTTACTAAAAAAGATGCAATTTTTTTTCATTTTAGACTAAAAGGCATCTCTACCATCTCAGTTTGAGAAACGTTTTAATGCTCCATTTTTTTAAAAGAACTGACGCGAAGAACTAACAAAAACATGACACAACTTATTTCTGTTCTGTTGATCATATGTTATACTATTCTACATGGGCGACATTAAGTGACATACGTCCGACGTGGAACGCATTCTGTTTAGTCAAAGAGGTCTATAGAAGGTAGTAGATATGGTGTAGTAAGTTGCATTAGACAACAAAACCTTATTAAACGACAACACGCGTTGCTTGTTAAGAAATTTTTTGACTTAATTCGTATAGCGGATATTAAACTGAAAGAAATTCTACCATTCAATTCCCAAGAGTGATTAACATCGTAATCTCCTTCCAAAGTCACTCTCCAATCAAACATCAAGGTCATGAGAATAAAGGAAATGATCAAGAACTTGTAAAGTTCTTGATTGTTGAACCGTTTTTCCTTGTGAAGAGTATAGTATAGAGATTATGTATGATAATATTGGGATGTAAAGGGTGGAGAGAAGTCCATTTTACCTCTGCACGAAGCCACTTTACATTTCTTTCCCTTCCTCGCTTTTCCTCTACAGTCCTTTCCGTCGCCTGACGGGGGTGGATTGGTGCACGTTCGATATTTATATTTTTTCCCCTTGCCGCAGCTCTCGCTACACTCACTATAGTTTGACCAGTTACTCCACCCTCCGTCAACTGAAATAGTAAAATACTTAGCTGACTTCGCCATTGACTAAAATGTCACCGCTTAGGTAAATTTACTAAGATGACATAACAGGAATGTCTAAAATAAATACCAAGGTCCTACTGTAACTCGATAATAGGTAATGACACGAGCCTATGGGCTCCTGATAATGACAAGATTTTGCTGAGTTAACACTAAATTGTCACAAGTCCCCTACCATTGCAAGGTCCATTATTGCAAGTCCGTGTTTCTTGGCTGTCTCCTGAACACTGTGCCCCACCACCTGACGGAGGGGGATTGGTGCAAGTGCGCGAGCGTGCGTGCTGCCCATCACCGCATGAAGCGCTGCATTGTCCCCAGTCTCCCCAGTCACTCCAACCACCGTTCACTGGAATAACATTGGGACAAGAATTAGTATACTAGTTGGCCTACGTGACTTAAACGAACGCTGTTAGAATATTACAGTAACTTGGAAAAGGGAAGCATCATATAATCATAGCGGAGGGCCTATGCACAGAATTGGCAAGCGGAGCCCAAAACTTAAGAAAAGAGAGCCTGACAAACTGCAAAAATGTGGTTGCCATATGATGGCTGTACGTCATTCTGTTTGTGAGTTGTGTTTTACTAATGTGGCAAGCTGCATTGTTAGCTCAGCGCAGGAACTTCACGTCGGTAGATCTGCACTCCATGGGAATGAGATGAATAAGCATTCACGTACATTAACGTTAAATGTGATACATGTACCTACCAGGGCATTCATGAGTATTACAGGCTTGTGTTTCTTTGCTGGGCCCTACACATTGCGCTCCACCGCCCGACGGAGGGGGATTTGTACAGGTTCGTGAGCGTTCTTGGGTTCCACCCCCACATGTAGCACTGCATTGTCCCCAAGGTCCGAAGCTGCTCCATCCGCCATTAACAGCAGCTGAAAGCATAACAGAGGAGTGTTGCTGAACCGTATAAAAGGGTATTCAGAACTCTCCTTTAGCAATGATTCAAATATCAAAATTAAGAGGTTAAAATTAAGTGACCAGCGCAGTACGAAGAAGAATGACCGATTCTCCGCATTTTAGATCTTGGACCCTACCACCTTGTGAGATGATCTGTCGGCTAAGCTGCAGAAAGACCGGAAGCGTCATGGGCTTAACTGTAAGTTCACATAGAAACCACCGCCCTACATGTTTTTAAGATTTACAGCGTTGAAAGCTTCTAACGTGAATAATAGTATAAAGAAAGGTACATATCCTGTTACCTACATCTTTCTCGGTAAAGTTACCCATTGCATATTTAGAGTTCTTCGAGTATTCACTGACTTTCCATGTGGTGATCAGATTTACCTTTTTTCATCTTGCAGCATCGAAATTTTTCGATGCAATAAATATCGTTGCAGTTGCTTTTGTAGAAGCCAGTCATGTAGTAGCCCGCCTGTTGGCACTCGCTCCAACCTTTATTGTCGAAGGAATATGTGACATCTTGATCGTAACAGTGTTCATAACTGTTTGGATGACCCTGAGGGTGGCAACATTTTGCCTCGTCAATGTGGAGCAGATAGGCTGGCGGACCAGCGCCGAGCCTCATACCTTGCATGTAGTAACCATTAGGGCACAGTGCCCAGACATGATTTCTAGAAGAGAATTTCAAAGCATCTTAAGATAAAATTGGTATAGGTAATAACATGATTTCTCGTGCAATTTGGTGCTAATAAGTTTGAGTAACCTTTTCAAAGACTACAAATTGCACGATCCCGTAAAAAGAGTGCAATTTGTAGTCTTTGAAAAATTTACAAGTGCTTATTACACCAAATTGCAAGAGAAACAATGTTATTACTAATTAATAATTTCAATGAAAAACATCACAGAAAGTCAAGACCGACGAAATTAACTTTGAAAGCGTGCGCGCGCTATATTTGTAATTTGCACTCGTGTTACAACTTTGAACTCGTGTTGCATGAGAATGCACTCGTTTTAAGCCAATCAGAAGCGCGTAAGTTTTTCATCCACATTATTACGCTTACAAAGAACTTTGTACGATATAAAGAAAAACTAAGTTTAAATTCATGCATAAGTCAATTTGCCAAAAACGCCGAAGCATTCTGATTTCAAGAACATGAAGCGGCTGAGAGTATTGGCACTCCTTTTTGCACGAGACTGAAATTCATTGCAGGCGAGGTCTATACCACTTTTTTTTTTACTGCTTTCTACGACCCTTTAATATCAAGTCTAATGAATGTCATGTTCAGAAAAAGTCGCACAAGATAGTCCCAGTTAGGGATAAAAGTGTCTCCGTGAGCATGGCCTTTCCAATTCATTCTAAATCAGTTCATGGTGGGACTCACCTATCCAGCGTGTGAAGCCAATTCGCGTTTGAACATGTGGAAGGTTTGTGGACATAAGTTGGTTCTGTTGCCCGACAGCACCTTCCATACTCAATGCGACCAACTCTCTCGTCTCCAGGGTGTCGATCATTTCTCCACATCCCCCTGAGGTAGGTCATACTGTTAGGACAGGTAGACCACGTGGCCCTGTCCAAACTAACCGACCAATCAGCTTGATCACATTGACTTAGGGTGATATCAGCCTGGCAAATCAGCAGCGTGCTGACGACTGAAATAGCAAACACTACATTCATCTTGTACTTGGCTTCTTAGGAGGAAAAAACGCAGATATACCTGATGATCCTCTAGCAAAATAAAAGAAAATCATTCATTACTTTGATAGTTTTTCTCGATAATAAGGGGTGATTGATTCATAGAACGAACCTGTAATTATTAAGATTTCATTTAGCGAAGCACATGATTAATGAAGCACGATAATCTGCTTGGGAAGTTTGGCAGAATCTAGCTGAGAGAGAAAATAAATTAATCGACTTAAATAAGCTTAATCTCGAAATCTACCCGTCCAAGATTGTTTTGGAGTATACTTAAAATATTAAGCTTATTGTTCAGTTGGTGGATAATATTTTCATTCATGAACGAAACAAAGCCGCCTAAATTTTTGAAAATAAGTAACAGTCTTATCTTCACAAAGACTATCGTTTTTGAAATCTTTGATACCGAGGAATGAATAATTTCCTACTTCTCTCCAAAATCTTACTGAATGGTTTGTCAAAACTGTAAAGCAGACAAGTATGGGTTAAAAATTTTTAAGAATTAATTCTGACGTCTCTCTCTACTGAGAATGACATAGACCCATCATCTTAAATTAAACCTCTCGAGAATGATGGCATAATTTTCCTCCATAATTGGTTAAACAGTACGATGAAGAGAAACCTTATCAACTCTGGGATAACTCATAGGGCAGAATGCTGTGACATTCATTAAATATTCATGATCACCGAAGCGCAAATACGCGCTCTGAAAAGCCCAAAATTAGAGAAGAAAGGGCCATAATTGGCCAAGTAGCGTTGATAAAACTTGCTTTCCTGATTTCAAGAATTAAAAATCTTAAAACCCACGCACGGAATTTTGAAGAGGAATGTTGTATCAACAATTTAAGACTAAAATAAAGAAGATTGAACAAGTGGAAGGAGTATCCTTTTGCACTTGAAAAAAAGGAAAAATTGACCTTTTTTTGTATGGAGTCCGTTTTCCAAAGCAAATTTCTGAAAACTTTTACTGAATTTCGACAACCCACGCACGGTTTATGAAAAATTCATCTTTTCTCATCAAGAATCTGCAAAAAGTTTACAAATTGGTCAACGGGAAACACTATCCTTTTCAGTTTGAAAACTGCTGGTCGAATTCGCGTTTGAAAATGGCGCGTCTTGAGCGTGCGAGCTACTGTTTTAAGCCTTCGATTGAATAACAATGGTTACCAAGACTAAATAATAGACCATTCATAAAAACCATTCAGTTGTAAAATTATTCACTATTACCACGAATTTTAAAAGTAAGTAAAGTAAAGCAGCTGGTTTATTCAAACAGCCGATCATATCGCGCAATGGATAAAGTCGTGGAAAACGTCAGCGATCGGGAGCTCTTTTCAGAGCTCGTTGACAACCCGATCAATCCGTTACATGTACATATAGTGCCTCCATTTGTGAAAGAAAACAACCCGATGTTTTATCTTCAAATAAACGGAGAGGCTGCGTTCAAATGGCGAGATAGTTATGGTCAGCCCCGTAAAGTATTTAACTTACTCCAGCGAAGCATCTTGCCTCTTGGATACCAACTAGTGGCATCCGCTGAAGAGCGGGTAGGAAAAGCGTTTAGCGAAAGCATCAGCATCAAAACTTTATTGTGAGCTCGATTATGAATGATTAGTTTTTTTTTACGGCACATGATCGTCTTCCTCGGGCGGCAAACTATAAAATTCGCTTTGTTTCCGGCGTTGCGTTTCAAGTTCACTTTTTGCGAAACAAAACCTCCTTTTGACGAAACAAAACCTTAGCGAAACTTATAATTATGCGTCGGAGTCAAACTTTTGCGAGGGAGTAACAATAGCGCAATAAAGCCATTGTTCAGTTTGCAGCCACATTCAAGTTAATGAGTATTGCCGTGCGTTCATAGCAACCAATAAAAAAGCTTCTTTCTGGGCTTCCATAAATAGTAGTAAGCGTTATGACAGACCTATGCGTCTTCTTGAACTGTAAGTAAATGTCACAAGAACAATAGCCATTCTACGCTATGTAAATTTCCCGCAGGTATCATAAGTTTCAATTTTTGCCCCCGCAGGTTTTTTGGCCCCAGAGGGCCAAAAACCCGAGGAGGCACCTTAGGACTCCCCGCGTAATTGCCCCCGCAGGGTCTTTGGCCCCAGAGGGCCAAAAACCCGAGGAGGCACCTTAGGACTCCCCGCGTAATATAGAGGAAGACTGGAGAAGAGAGAATGTAGGTATTTTTGGTAGATCATAACCAGAAAAAATCTCGATTTGATCGCTTGCACGGCCGCAAGGTATCAACGTTTTTCCCGCAAATGGTCATGGGCGGCCAGCAAAAACGCGCGCGAGTACTATTGGGATCGGCGTCTTTGATACAGGCTTTGTCCTTGTCGAGATTTCGAGTTAAGCGTCCCTGAAAAGCGTCGAGAAGCGTTTCCAAGTCCAACGGTAAGTGTGTATACCATCTTTTTAACAATTAAAGGTAGTTTTGAGTTTAAAAGGTGATCAAAATCCGTCAAAAGAG